AATGCGGAGTTGTGTTGTACGCAAACATGGCGTACGGCACCCAGTCGTCCCAATCGGTCTGGTCCTCTTTTACATAATATCGAATATATTTGGCTAGTGTTCGATGAGATAGCTCCAGAGCTCCGTTGCTTTCCGGATGATAAGCCGTGGTTTGCACCTTGTTGATGCGTAGCAACTTGCATACATTTCGGAATAATTCACTCACNAAATTTGTACCCCTATCGGTCAAAATCGTACCTGGTATTCCATGCTCGCACATTATCTTTGTCACGAACTCTTTTGCAACCGTCGCGGCCTCCTGATTCGGAACAGGTATCGCCTTACTAAACTTGGTAAGGTTATCCTGAAATGTGAGTAGATATTTATTCCCACTGCTTGTTACAGGCAAAGGCCCGACTATATCTAGAGCACACTTTTCAAACGGNTCTGACGGCGTGTCAGTAATTATCATTGGTGCCTTATACTTTCTGGCCAGCTTGTTCTTTTGACACGACACACACCTCGAGATATAATTTTCTACATCTCGTGTCAAACCCGGCCAATCGTAATTTCTACGAATCCGCGTCACCGTGCGCGCTACTCCTTGATGCGCTCCAAGTGGTGTATTATGATACTCATATAGCACCTGTTTCTTTTCTTCCTCAGTTAACTTACGTGTCTCGCTTGCTCCCGTTATCGCGCTCTCCTTTTCTTCTGCTTCGCACACGTTTGCCATCTCCACCGGGCTCCGGCTCAACGCGTTTGTGTTAGCCTTCCCTTTCTTATAGATTATTTCGTACTCATATTCTTTTAATTTTAAACGCCAGCGTACAAGTCGTAAANCCGGGTCTTTTATGTTAAACAGCCATACTAATGCTCGATGNTCCGTAACAATCTTAAACTTAGTTCCGTATAAATACGGTCTAAAGTGCTTAACCATACAATGGCTAATAATTCTTTTTCGGTTGTGCTATAATTCCGCTCTGCCTTATTTAATATCCGGCTTGCGTACGCGATTGAATTGTCGCGACTTACTTCTCCTTGTGATAACACCGCGCCGACAGCGTAACCCGACGCGTCCGTAGTGACGATAAACTCTTTCGTAAAATCCGGGTACGCCAGCAGTGGCACCTCGCTTAGCTTATTTTTTAATGTTTCANAAGCGCACTGCTGCTCTTGACCCCACTCATACGTTGCTCTTTTGCACAATAATTTGGTCAATGGCTTAGCGATTTTCGAAAACCCATCGATGAACTTCTGGTAATAACCGGCTAATCCGATGAATGACTGTACCTCTTTAATCTTTTTCGGAATGGGAAAACCTTTCACTGCGGGATCCGGTGAGATCCCGTTTTCCGTAATCTTGTGCCCGAGATACGTAATTTTCTTGCGAAAGAACTCGCACTTGTCGGGTTGTAACTTTAAATTATTTTCCCTCAATCTACTNAACACGTCCTTTACTCGTTTTACGTGTTCCTCCAAGCTTGCTCCGTGCATTACAATGTCATCTAAATAGACAAAACATTTAACTCCTTGCAACCCTGTTAGAACTGCGTTCATTCATAGTCTTTGAAATGTCGCGGGTGCATTCTTTAAACCAAACGGCATCCTATTATATTCGTAATGACCATAAGGTTTTGAAAATGCCGTTTTGCTTTTATCCTCTTCTTTCATCGGGATCTGATGATATCCCGATGCCAAATCCAGCGTTNAAAAATATTTTGCGTTACTCAGTTGATCCAATATTTCCGTGATATTTGGTAACGGAAATGAGTCACCAATAGTAACATCATTTAACCTCCTAAAATCGACAATTCGGAGTTTCCTGACACCCGAGGCGTCCATCTTCTTAGGTACAACCAATAGCGGTGCGTTCCACTCGCTCTTGCTTCGTCTTATTATTTGATTATGTAGCATTTCCTGTATTTGACGATCTACTTCCTTCTTATGTTTTTCAGGTAGGCGATATGGTTTCACGTTGATGGGTGCTGTATCAGTTCTTACACGCACTCCATGCTTTACCGCACCAGTTTTGCTCAATGGTTCCCCACTCAAATGAAAAATGTCGCTATATTCCTCGCATAAGTTTACTAAAACACCTTTTTCTTCCTCGTTCAGATGTTGCATGCGCAAAGCATCCTTCACCTTTTCACTTTGTGTCAGTCCTGCTTCTGTCATGCTTACATTCATTACAGCATCTTCCATTTCACTTAC